CAAATCTCGATTAAATCTACGGAAAATTCACGGACCTGTTGTTAAAAACGAATATAACTACCACCAGAAAAATTATTCAGAAATGCTTGGTATAGCGATCAATGAAGAATAACGAGTTAAACAAACTGGTATCGCGAAAATGTTAGAAAAGTCGCTCGTTTTATGATCCTCATGGTTCAAAATTTTCGTTAGCGATAACACTGGTAATACAAAGTTTACATAATTTATCTTAGTGTCCACAGATTGAAAATAATTAGCCAGGATAGCATTCCAAATTTCAAATTTTTATCTCATTTATGAGGAGAGTTATCTGTCGAATTCATAGTTAAGAATCCCCATAGACGACTATTGCGGCTGAGCGCGTTGAACGGGCCTCTTAATGCTTTTCCAAGCCATCTCGGGTGTTGAGGTTACATCAATTAATGTTGAAGTTACCTCAATAACTGTTAAAGTTACTCCACTCCAATGTACTTGTCAAAGTTAACCCAATGTACTTGTCAATGTTACTCCAATGTACTTGTCAAAATTTCCCTAATGTACTTGTCAAAGTTACCCTAATGAATTTGTCAATGTTACTCCAATGCACTTGTCAAAGTTACCTCAATGTATTTGTCAAAGTTACCCCAATGTAGTTGTCAAAAGTTACCCCAATGTACTTGTCAAAGTTACCCCAATGTATTTGTCAAAGTTACCCCAATGTAATTGTAAAAAGTTACCCCAATGTACTTGTCAAAGTTACCCCAATGTACTTGTCAAAGTTACCTCAATGTATTAGTCAAAGTTACCCCAATGTAGGTACTTGTCAAAGTTACCCAAATGTATTTGTCAAAATTACCCCAATGTATTTGTAAAAGTTACCCTAATATATTTGTCAGAGTTACCCAAATGAAAGGCAAAGTCACTCCGGCACACACCATCTTTAATCCCTAGCTTATACTGACCCTCAGAGATCCTTGCTAACTACTTGTGTGAAACGCATGAATCGGTTTTCCGTATTAACACATTGAGTGCGGTATGACCCACCGGTGGGTCGCGCGGTATGAAATGCGCCCTGAATACAACATGGCCGCCCTTAACCGTGTTGAAGCTGGCTATGGGCTTATAATTCTTTGAAGTTTTCTGCATTGAAATAGTTAGATGGGCTAAGCTTTTAATTCTATGGAATCTTGAGAACAGCTTCCGTGGGAAAGAGACGGAATTAATTGGCAAGTCTTGTTGCGAGGTAACAGTGCGTGCAGATTTTCACTCTTCTTGTATGGTATCACGATAATATCATCATTTATTTCCATCGCAATTCTAAATGATGCTTATTCTAGAGCTCTTTGCGTCAAAATTCTTTTACCAATAGTATACTATCTGGTATAAATTTATAATTTTTTGTTATCGCTGTCAGTTCTTGACTACTGTTTGGGTTTTTCACGATTAGGGTAATCACCAGCATTAATGGATGATAATATTGCGTTGCAGGTTCCCGAGACTGCGCAACATCTCAGAGCGACTTGTGTCCGTTTACCTAACACTGGCTCCCGACCAACTGGTTGAAGATGATGTCACTCCTGTTGAGGAGTCTTCGGAGTCTCCAATAGCAGCGCCCCTCAAGGGCACTACGGCCGTGAGCGCCCTTAGGGCGAGTGGACGCCTGCTCTGCTTCAGGGACCTCCTCAAATGGGCAGGAAGAATCAATGCTAACCTGCATCTTGAAGGAGCTCAGCTGGCCAACCTCGCCTTCCAGGTTTGCATCTGCGGTTCCCACCATTAGGAACCTAACTAACTAACTAAACTAGACTAACTAACTAGCGAGTAACTAAAGAAGCGAAAAACTAACTGGTGGCTGGATTTCTGTCAAAGCAACTCGCGTAAGCTCTGGCATACACTTGGGGAAATCCAACCACCATAGCATGCGAGACCTATTTCATGCTCTCTAACTGAACTGGTGGGGTAGAATCGGCCACGTGCGGTGGACCATTTTCTTAAACGGCCAAGTGGCCTTAGTTTTACCCTTTTTTACCAGTTACCCAAAGAGTTTACCCGGCAATCTGCGTATAAATTCAGGTATTATGACTTTGAGTTCCCCCATTAGGAATTCCATCATGATTATCTTCATCGTTTGGGTCTATAACTGACGCCATGATTTGTACCCGGGAAGCGTTCTACTTAATGAACTTGAGACAATATTTCTTGCTATTGATTTGAATAATTTGATGTGCTGATTTGTACACAGGAAGCCCTGGATTGCTTCTGCGCGTCGGTTCCCAACACGGAGATTCGCGACACGTTTGCCGAGCAGATTGCCGGATACCTGAATCTCTCGTCGAGCGTCGCGGCACAATTCTGTCACAGCTACAAACCCACCGTATCTTTGATGGGGCCCTTCGTGCGTGTGGGAGAAAGGGCCAAGCTCGCTAAACTTCCTGTGTCTGTAGCAGCCCTTGTATCAGGACCCAAAAAAAATACCCCGTTCAGCTTCACCCGTCAAAGTTGCCTGCTGCTGGAACGTATTGCTGTCGCTGTGAGCAACAAAGAACCCGTTTTAATTGTGGGAGAGACGGGCACGGGTAAGACGACAGCTGTGCAGTATCTCGCACAGCAAACTAATCACAAGCTTAAAGTGATCAATATGAACCAGCAGAGCGACGCCACCGATTTGCTTGGAGGGTTCAAGCCTGTCGAGGTGAAGACCATTCTTTTCCCTCTCAGGGAGGAATTTGAACAGGTCTTTGCTGTCACAATGCCCGAGAAAACAAATTTTCTTCGCCACATCATGGCGGCTTATGGGAAACGGTCGTGGAAAGTCCTAATTGAGCTCATGCTTGGGGCCGAAAAGTACGCTCTTGAAAGACTCCATAAGGAAGACGCCGAACTGCGGGACAAATTAAAGACGCTTCGCCAGCTGACTAAATCAGTCTCTAAACAATCTGCCCAACCCAAGAAGAAGAAGAAAAAAACTGACACGGCCACTGCTAAACAAGAAACCCTTGAAGAGAAGCAGGAGTTGGAGGAGTCGCTGCAGGAAAAGCAAGACCTCGTGAAGCGCTGGGGAAAGCTCAGGGTGAAGCTTGAGCAAGCCAAAGGCCACGTGGAGAAGTGTCAGAGTGCCCTAGCCTTTGCCTTCATCGAGGGAGCTCTCACCAGGGCTATAGCTGAGGGTGGGTGCCGGTTTAGTGATACAATTAAAACTAAAGGTAAAAAGTATCTGTTTTCATTTCTTTGTACAAGTGATGACGTTATTATGAGCCGATTTTTGGGCAACTACTTGATTCTTTTTACCAAAGTCTTCAGAAATTTGCTGCCTTTTTAGAGTTTGACCCTTGAACTTTGCAGGCGACGTTTTTATGACGTTGGGTTGAATGTGGAGTGACGAGTTTTTATTGATAATTTTGTGGATGGTTGTGTTGATCACCATAATGTTCTTCCAAGGCATCTCGGGAATTCAAGTTAACTCAATAACGGTTAAAGTTATTCCTGTATAGCTGTCAAACTTAGTCCAATAATGGCCAAAATTTCTTCAGCAGACACTATATATTTCATGCAGCGTGCAATCCATTCATGATTGTTTCTGTTGATATATTGAAGGAATAATGTATTATTAACATTTTCTCAAACAATAGTAACGAGTACTCCACCCCCAGGCGCATGGGTGCTTCTGGACGAGATCAACCTGGCGACGGCCGAGACTCTGGAATGTCTGGCAGGTCTGCTGGAGTCGACGACGGGGTCCCTGACGCTGCTGGAGCGTGGCGACGAGACGCCCTTGGTGCGCCACCCCGACTTCCGTCTGTTTGCGTGCATGAATCCCGCCACAGACGTGGGCAAGAAGGAACTCCCGCCAGGGCTCAGGAACAGGTTCACGGAACTCTTCATGCACGACCTCGACAACAAGGAGGACCTCGAGACCCTTATTGCTGACTACCTCATTGAGGTTCGTGGATTGTCTACTGAGTTATTTATTTTATTTGTTGGGTGGCACTTTGCCGGTTATTGACGTGAAGTTATAACGTGTCATAATACCTGATGAACGTTTTCTCTGCACATGATGAGCATTGACACGTGGAAAAACGTTACGCGCCATAACATTTTTGTAACACTTTCCCATCTTGCATTTTTTCCATAACTCTCTTCTTTATGACGTGACTTGCCGAGTTTATCCAAAACTTGTGAGGGGTCTTAACTTGTTCTATGCACCTAAACTTGTTGTAAGATTTAGTAAATTGTAGTAACATGTTGCGACCTAAAACGAATCGGAACTGGTACCTCAAATTGTAAGATGTATTAAATTGTGGTAACTCGTAACCAATCTCAACTTGTTGCGACATTTTACTACCTGCTCGCACGTGTTGTAAGGTACTAACTCAAATTCTAATGTTTCTGAATAAGTTTCAAAAAGCGTCATAACTTTTTCTTGTAGAGAAACCCCACTCCGAAGCAAGTGCAGGGCATCCGCCGTCTGTATGAGGAGGTGCGTCGAAGGGCGTCGGTGAAGGGGGAGCTGGGAGATACGACGGGGGCGGCACCTCACTACACTCTCAGGACGCTGTGTCGCGCTCTAGCTGTCGCCGCCCCCAACCCCGCGCACAACTTCGACAGGTGAGCACCGGCGCTGGCTTTCTGCGTGCGTTTTCTCGCATGCCGCGTACACATTAAATTACGACCGCGTGTGCAATGTGCATTCATTGTGTACATTCTGCGTGTGCCTCTTGGTTATTCTACTTTTTCTCTTGTTAAGAGAATGATAATATTAAAGCTGATATTTTGTTGCCCGCAGGTCACTGTATGAAGGCTTTTGCCTGTCGTTCCTGACGCAGCTGGATCGCGCCTCATTTCCTATCGTCGAGAATCTGATCCTGCAGTACCTCATAGTACCCAAGAAGTGCAAGTCATTGCCTGACACCTCAAGTTTGTTCAACAAAATCAAGGCCCGCTTCAGCAAGGTCTTGCCTCACCCCGGCAGCGTTGTGGAGACCAACGATGGCAGTGATGTTTGCAGCGTACCTGAGGGGACAGTCGTTAAGGGCTACGTCATGGTTTCAGGGTACTGGATTAATAAAGGCGTGCTGGATCCCGTATCAGATGACCAGTACATCCTGACGCAGAGCGTCCAATGGAACCTGCGCAGTGTGGTGCGCATCGTGAGTCTGGGTGATGGAAGCCCTGTGTTGCTTCAGGGAGACACATCGGTGGGCAAGACCTCTCTAGTGACCTACCTGGCACGCAGGTGCGGTGTTCCTTGCATCCGTATCAACAACCACGAGCACACTGACATCCAGGAGTATTTGGGCAGCTATGCCCCTGACGAGACTGGCAAACTGGTGTTTAGGGAAGGTGCTCTTGTCACTGCCATGCGTCAAGGTCAGTGGATAATCCTTGACGAGCTTAACCTGGCACCCACAGACGTGCTGGAGGCACTCAACAGGCTTCTGGACGATAACCGCGAACTTTACCTGCCCGAGACGCAGGAGACCGTGCATGCTCATCCCAACTTCAGGCTGTTCGCGACGCAGAACCCTCCTGGTCTGTATGGTGGTCGCAAAGTCCTCTCCAGAGCTTTCAGAAACAGATTCATAGAGCTTCACTTCGACGACATTCCCGGCCAGGAGCTGGTGGAGATTATCCACAAGCGTTGCTGCTTGTCAGTGCAGCACAGCAAGAAGCTGGTGTCAGTGCTGCAGGCGTTGCAGATGCGGCGTGGCAGAGACAATGTCTTCCAAGGGCGGCAGTCGCTAGTTACATTGCGCGATCTTTTCCGTTGGGCCGAGCGCTACCATCTTGCGGAGCAGCCCAACGATAGTGGTCAGTTTTATGAGTGGGAGCAGCACCTTGGCGACGAAGGATACCTCGTTTTGGCCGGCCGTGTCAGAAACGAAGAGGAACATCAGCTCATCAAAGAAGTCATTGAAGAAAATATGCGCTGTAAGATCAACCCTGACAGACTGTTCAAGCTCAGCGAGGAGACTTCGCCCGTGACTCGGGCGGTCCTAGAGAAGTTGGAGTTAGTGAAAGGCTTCGAGCACATGGTCTTCACTGACGACATGCGTCGCCTCTACGTTCTGCTGGCCAAGGCCTTGAGCTTCGGAGAACCTGTCCTGTTAGTAGGAGAGACGGGCTGTGGCAAGACTACAGTCTGCCAGATGATCGCGGCGCAGGAGGACCAACAGCTCTACAGTGTCAACTGCCACATGCATACCGAAGGAGCTGACTTTCTTGGGGGTCTGCGACCCGTCAGAAACAGAAGTGACCTCGAAGACGATCGTTTGTTCGAATGGGTTGATGGGCCTCTCATCCATGCGATGCGGGACGGTGGCATGTTCCTAGCAGACGAAATATCCCTTGCAGATGACAGCGTGCTGGAAAGACTCAACTCTGTTCTAGAGTATGAACGAACTCTGGTACTGGCAGAGAAAGGCTCAAGTGATGTTGGCGATGTGCTGAAGACCGACGTTGTCGTTGCTCATGAAAAGTTCCGTCTTGTCGGAACGATGAACCCTGGCGGCGACTACGGCAAGAAAGAGCTTTCACCCGCCATGCGCAACAGGTTCACGGAAATCTGGTGCCCAAAAATTGAGATTCAGCGAGCTTCCTCTGATGTGCTAACAATTGTCGAGCATAACGTTAGGGAAGGACTTGTGCTGAGCGATGACGGCAGCGGCAAGTCTGGCATCGGCACGGCAATGTTAGAGTTCCTGCAGCTTTTCACTAGTTCGGAGCAAGGCAAGCGCTGCACCATCAGCATCAGGGACATTATATCCTGGGTGCAGTTTATCAATAAGGTGACACTGCCCGAAGGCGGCGGACTGGATGTGGGGCTGGCTTATATCCACGGTGCGTGCTTGGTGCTCCTCGACGGTCTAGGCTCTGGGCTTACGGGCACTGGCTTGTCTGGCTGGGAAGAGCTGAAAAACGTCAGCTTGAACTTCTTATACCAGCAGGTCTGGAAACTGACAGGCCGGAAACCTGATCGCGCGACTCTTGAAGACACTTGTGCCAGTGACCTCCGCTTCGTGGACGAGATACATAGATTCGGAATCGACCCTTTCTTGATCGAAAAGGGGGAGTGTGGAGCGTATAAAGACGCCCAGTTTTCGTTCCTCGCTCCGCGTACCTGCATCAATTTGGTACGTGTGCTGCGAGGACTGCAGCTGAGCAGACCTCTCCTGCTGGAAGGTAGCCCTGGAGTGGGCAAGACTAGTCTCGTGGTGGCTCTGGCTAAAGCCTCGAACAACAACATAACGAGAATCAATTTATCTGAGCAGACAGACGTGAGTGATCTGTTTGGTGCTGACCTGCCGGTTGAGGGAGCCAGTGGCGGGAGGTTCGCATGGAGGGACGGGCCGCTACTTCAGGCACTGAGAACCGGGTCATGGGTGGTTCTAGACGAGTTGAACCTTGCCTCCCAATCGGTGCTGGAAGGCTTGAACGCTTGTTTCGATCACCGCGGGGAAGTGTTCGTGCCAGAATTGGGCCAGACCTTCAAAGTGGCCCACAAAACCACCAAAATATTCGCGTGTCAAAACCCACAGTATCAAGGCGGTGCCCGTAAAGGTCTCCCGCGTTCGTTCCTGAACCGATTCACGCAGGTTCACATCGAACCCCTTTCATCCTCTGACCTGGAATTCATTCTATTGAACATTTATGGATCGCAAATAGACCCAAAGACCATCACCAGGATGGTCGAGCTGAACAAACGGCTAAATGAATCCTGCGAGACAGGCGAGTTTGGAGTCGTCGGAGGCCCCTGGGAACTAAATCTTCGTGACCTTTTCCGATGGTGCGACTTGATGCTTCGCTTTGGCCATGCCACGCCGAGTGATGATGTGGCTCAAGCCATGCCACGTGACGATGTTGCTCAAGTCATGCCACTCCGCCAGATGGTCGATTTGTTGTACGCTGCCAGGATGCGAACGCCTTCCGACCGACGCGCCGTACACGCCACATTCTCCGCCGTATTCCCTGAGTACGCCGCAGAAGGATCCCCTGAGCCGCTTCTCCACCTTACCAGCACCCACTTCCATGTGGGGGTCATCAGCCTCCCTAGAGGTTCTGCTCCACATCAGGTGAGTGCTTTGCCTCGCGATTCTCTTGGCTGTTACATTACAGTGGTTCCAGAGTTACATTACAGTAGTTCCCGAGTTACATTACAGTGGTTCCAGAGTTACATTACAGTGGTTCCAGAGTTACATTACAGTAGTTCCCGAGTTACATTACAGTAGTTCCCGAGTTACATTTCAGTAGTTCCCGAGTTACATTACAGTAGTTCCCGAGTTACATTACAGTAGTTCCCTAGTTACATTACAGTAGTTCCAGCTCCAGTTAAATTGGTGGTTCCTGAGAACCACCCACTTACCGCAAACTATCCACTTACCCCAAATCACCCATTTTCCTAAATCAGGTGGGTCGAGACATGGGAGCGCAGGTTGTGGCTCGCGATCAGCTGGTGCAGCTGCAGCAGGTGGCCACGTGCACCGCGATGGGGTGGCTGGTGCTGCTGGTGGGTGCAGCTGGTGCAGGCAAGAGTGCACTGGTTCAGCAGTGCGCTGCACTCACCGGTACACCGCTGCGCACCGTGCAGCTCTCGCCCCAGATGGACGTGGGTGAACTGCTGGGCGGCTTTGAGCAGGTGGGTTATTTGCCAGGTGAAGATATGAATTATTGGCCTTTGAGGTGTTTTGGATTAACTTTTTTCTGTTGAGCCAGTGGATAACGAGATGGAAATCTTGAGGCATATGTTATAGAGGCCTACACTTGATAAGGTCGATAAAGAAAAAGCCCGCACTTAATACGGGCGACGAAAGAGATACCCTCACTTCATAAGGTCTTTGAGATAAATATATACACTTCGTTAAGCAAGTTAAATAAAGGACATTAGTTATCTCACCATGAGGCCAACATCGTTTTAGACTTAAATATGATTGGTCAACTCGTATCACATAATTGTAGAACCACCAACTCATTTGTTCTCGATGCAGGTTGACCACGGACGCAAGCTGGGGGGTTTGGTTGAATCAACCCGAGACCTGGTTAACCTGGTGGTGAAGCACATCCTGGTGGAGGGGCGTTCCCCTCCTGATGGGGCTGCAGCTCCCGACACCCAGTTGCTGCTGGCCAATCTAAAGCACTTGATCACCCAACAACAGCGTGAGGATACTTGATTGATGGGTTACTGGGACACTTGTTGTGATGGGTTACTGGGACACTTGTGATGGGTTACTGGGACACTTGTGATGGGTTACTGGGACACTTGTTGTGATGGGTTACTGGGACACCTGTTGTGATGGGTTACTGGGACACTTGTGATGGGTTGCTGGGACACTTGTTGTGATGGGTTACTAACTTACTGGGACACGTGTTGTGATTGGGTCCTGGAACACTTGTTTTGATTATCTTCTGAGATAATTTTCAGTATAGATTACTATGTGATAACCTCTTTTCTGCCTCGAAGTGTCACTACCTCAAATTTTTAATTGTTGCCAGATCGCTGCGGTGAGCGCAGCAGCAGCGAGGAAACTCGGCAGTTCTTGCAGCAGTGCGACCGCCTCGTGCAGCTACTGCAGCAGACGCTGCACTGCTGCACGCAGCTGCTCCTGCCTTGCCAGGCTAGTGTGCAGCAGCTCCTGCATCAGGTGCAGCATCTGCAGCACGTGGTGCAGGAGGCAGGAGGATTAGCGTCTGGAGGAATCTTCGAGTGGGTTGATTCGCCCCTCGTCGTGGTGAGTGGCTTGATTTTGTCCTATTATCAATTGCGTGTTTTAATTTAAGCTAAAAATGTATTAACTAAAGCTTGTCGGTTTTTATTAGTATTAGTTTTTATTCTTATTGTAGCTTTGCATATTTTGAATAATGATCCTTAATTATAATCACATACTGCAAACCTAAATCCGAATTTTCATTTCCTAAGTTCTAGTTCCCTCTCCGTTCAAAATTTAAATTATGTCCTCGAAGTTGTTATTTCAATGATGGCCGCCACTACAAAGGTTATTGCAATAATGGCCGCCACTGCAGAAGGTATTGCAATAATGGCCGCCACTGCAGAAGGCATTGCAATGATGGCCGCCACTGCAGAAGGCATTGCAATGATGTCCGCCACTGCAGAAGGCATTGCAATGATGGCCGCCACTGCAGAAGGCATTGCAATAATGGCCGCCACTGCAGAAGGTATTGCAATAATGGCCGCCACTGCAGAAGGCATTGCAATAATGACCGCCCCTGCAGAAGGCATTGCAATGATGGCCGCAACTACAGAGGGTACTACAATGATGTCCGCCACTGCAGAAGGCATTGCAATAATGGCCGCCACTGCAGAAGGCATTGCTATTATAGCCGTGACTGTAGAAGGCAGTGGCCTGCGGCTAGACTTCCGCATTCTTGGTGGCTGACTTGACCGTTCTCTTGTGTGCAGGCCATCAGAGAGGGCGAGTGGGTTGTGGTGGAGGGCGCTTCTCTATGCGCCGCCTCGGTGCTGGACCGCCTGAACCCGTTGCTAGAGCCTGGTGGATGCCTCCTGCTGGGGGAGCGTGGGGTCATAGGGGGCGCCGTGCCCTCCGTACAACCCCACCCCAACTTCAGGCTGTTCCTCCTCATGGACCACACCTGTGGGGAGGTGTCCCGGTCAGTCCTGGAGTCTTGTCAGCATGGGGCATCTAGTATTTTTTTTATTATTCGATAGTAAATGGTAAAATTCCAAGAAGAATCAGTAGTTCCTTTTATCTAGTAGAATATTTAAACATGTAACTGTAAATCCTAACATCCAGTAGAATATTTAAACATTTAACTGTAAATCCTTACATCCAATAGAACAATTGCATTTTATTTTAGTGCATTGAAACTTCCTCTAAATATTCACTAGTATATATAAAGAACCAATACGATGTTTTAACAACCAGTTGAATACATCAACAAGCAACAGAATATTATGTACGCAAATAAATATTCTACTATGACAGTAAAGATTATAATAGGAAAACCACGACCCAGGAAAACCACGACCCACTGGGAAACTTGAAAGTAGTGCAGTGGCGAAGAAATAGGCCATGGGCCTATTTCTTCAACGCCGACACTTCTATCTGTAACTGTAACACTATACGTACGTTAAACGTGCACATTGGTATCTCTTAAAAGTAACTTTTAATGCACCATTTTCCCGCACAGCGCGATGCGCAATCGTGGCGTAGAGATATTCGTGCCACCGCTGATGCAGAGTGCCGCCTTCCATGAGGATTTCACCGCATCCTCCACCGTATCCTCCGCCACACCACACGACTCAAGGAGCGTCGACTCCGGTCTTTCCACCGATGGGGATTCCTCCTCTGACTCAGGAGACGAGGAGGTCGTGACGAAGGAGGAGGTCGTCACGAAGGAGATGTCCTTGGAGGCGGCCGCTCTTGACGTGACCGCTCTTCTGGTGGTCAACGGCCTCCAGTGCCCCGGCCTGCAGAACTGCCTGGTGGCCGTCCATACGGCCGTGGCGAGTGCCGTACCTGGTACGTTGTTGGTGCTGAGTGCCTGGTACCTTAATTGTTACGTTGGTACCTTAATTGGTACTTTGGTACCCGATATTGTCTATCGGTATGTACCGTACCTCACCTGGTACGTAGGTAAGGTACTTCTTATTGGGACCTATTCCTGGTACTTCTTCTTGGGACCTATTTGGACTGTGCATGAAGCAATAGGAACTGATGTATAATACAAGGTAATCTCGTAGTAAACTACCTCGAACAGTGATGGTTAATGTCTGCAACTTATTAAGACACAAAGAACTTCAGAATAAATAGTTTTTTTATTCAATTTTTATTCAATCATTGAACATAAACAAATAATTTTCAGCCACTTTTGTCGTGTACTTTACATGTGTACTGTACCTTCTTTATAAAAATTACTGTGTGTGCAGCGTACGTAGAGCTATAATGTAGTCATGTCAGTCATATGAAAGCCATGTGGCTGCCATAATTTAGTCGTTTGTCAGCTCAAAGAAGCCATCTTTCTGCTATAGTAAAGCCATCTTTCTGTCATAATGAAGCTGTCTTTCTGCCATAATAGAGCCATATATCTGCCTTAGTGTTTAGCCATATGTCAGCCATAATTGAGCCATATGTCTGTCATAATAAAGTCATCTGTCTGTGCAGCATACGTACAGCCAAGCCTGGGCCATCTGCTGCAGGCGGCGCAGCTGATGGTGCAGCTGCAGCAGGCGGGAGAAGCGGATAGCCGTGCACTGGAGCTCGCCTGTACAGAGTGCTACGTCAGGTGAGTCATCACATCGTCATGATGTGCACATCACACAGCGTCACGTGCACATCACACAGCTGTGTGCATATATTGGACAATGGTTTAACAATTTGTAAACTGATGGCAGCATTAGTTGCTATGAATTCAGATACCTTCAGCATTGATAATGGGTTATAGGTCTGTAAATATAGGTGCTTTTAGTTACCAGAGTATGAAGTTCCACTGTACGTTAATTATCGACTGTGCAGCACGCAGGGCAACTTGGAGCTGCAGCGGCAAATGGCGTGCGTGGTGCAGCGTTCTCTGCGCAAAACGCAGCACCTGCAGCAGTGCAAGACCTGGCCTCCGCTGGGGGCTCTAACCCTGCAGACGCGGGCGTTACAGCAACACGGAGCTGCAACCTCCCTGGTGACGCAGACCGTCGCCTTCCTCCAGTGTCTTGTCATCGGCGCCACGTCACCCGATAAAGTTACTAACGTATGGGCGCGAGCTCCGTTGTCCCAGATTGAAAATTTCCCCGATCTGAGGATTGCAGCCCCTGAGCTGCTCACTATCACACTTGCTTCTCTTCCTGTCAGCAGTTGGCCTTTGCTACTGCATGGTGCCAAGTCATTGATCAAGGATAGAAAGGACGGAATTAAAGTCATCGCCGAGTTGAGCGATGTAGCCCAAGCCCTCAAGGCAGGCAAGTTATGTGTGAAGGAGGAACAACAGAGTTCATGTCTCGCTGACCCGCGATTCCACGCAAACGCCGCCAGTTACGAAGACATGAAAAGCAGCGATTTGACCAACAGGCTTCTGCTAGGTGTGTGGCGGACTCTTGTTCGCTCTGCAACATCCTCCAAAATGGCGAAGAAATCCAACGATGGCCAGTCAGTGCTGCAAGTTTCTCGGGCCATCAGTCAGAAGAAGTTGGACAAAGCTTTGGCACCACATGCCTGTGTTCCGCACCTTCAGCCTCTCCTCACGCGCCTTGATGCATTCATAGAGGATTTCTGTGCTGCCTCTGACCAAGTCCATTTTTCTGACTTGCAATGGGAGGAGCTCTGCTTGGTTCTACGTTGGAATGATCGTCTTAGCAAGCTTTTGTCAGCCCCTGACTCGCTTGCATTATTCAAGCTCCTTTTACCGCAAGTAGTACTGCACTGGCAAGTCTTCCAAGACAGGCTCTTCAAAAATATTCCTGCTGAGTGGATCGTGAAGACAGCGAGCTACAACAAGCTCAACAAGACAGTGCAGAAACTAACGAGCGTTTTTTCCGTGAACTGTGGCCCCGTGCACGAGTTCGCTTCTCAACTCAGTCTTCAACTTCCTCACCCCAACGCCTTCCCAACACAAGACATGGCCGAAGCACACTTACTTCTTGCCAGGCTCAGCGAACGTCTTCTCCCCAACGCTCGTAACAGGTCTCGATGCTCATTGCTCCTTTCTCGTGACGTAATTAACGCGAAAAGTCGGCTCATCACCCTTGCTTCGGACTTCCTAAGAGCTAGGATCGCGCCCAAGGAAGTGTTGAAGCGCTTGCGCGAGATCGAGAAGTTCATGGACGCTGCTCACGAGACCTCAGAAGTGGGCTCAGCAGCTGCCCTAAACAACAAAAAAGCTGCTTTGCGAATGCAAAGCTGGCCGCTGCTGGACTTGCTTACGTCTCAGCAGCTGGCGCAGTTTTTCATTGACCAGCGTTTGAGATCCCATAAGCAGCGCGCTCATCTCCAGGAGTTGTTGAACTCTGCGCCCTCAGGACCCCTTGAACTCCTCGACGGAGAACCAAAAAGTATAGGCTGGGTGCGTGCTCACCTCCACACTCTGCTGTCCACATCCACTGCCTGTCGGAGCGTCCGTGACTGGTTGTGTCGCGGGTCTAACCGTCACAAAGCGACAAAGCCTCAGCAAGTCGAAGTGGAAGCCAAGATTCACGAGACTGCATCTTGGGCGGTGCTGAGTCCTGTGCAGTGTCTGCTGTCCAGTATCTTGTCTCTCGGCTCGAACAAGGATGCCGTGCAGATGCTGCAAGTGGGCGTGCACGCAGAAAAAGCTTCTCAACTGCAAGATGAGCGTTCAACACTCTGGACCAACTGGCCTGTCATTGCTGACCCCGCAATGTCTCCTTCTGTTGTTTTTTCCAAAACCGTTGCGATGTTCTGCAAAAACTTGACGCACGCTATCAGAAAGGTAATGGATCCTAATAAACTCACGAGGGGCAGTGATTTGGCGCTAGATTTGTGCCGCCTCACGACCTTCATCCGCGATAAAAGCGCGACGCCTGACGTGGCGGGTTTGCTCGATGAGATCCAAGCATGCAGCTCCGTGCTTAACGAAGCTCCAGAAGATGCGGACCTCGTCAAGGTGGCTAAACTTGGAGCGGCCATGGGTGTACTACAAGGTTGGGTTGCGGGGCACCTTGAAGCCATGGACCCAACGGAGAAAAGAAAGCTGTTGTTGCTCTATGCTCAGCAGGATGAAAAGCGTATCAGTCAAGAAATACTCCTTCATTCTTGGATCAATATCTTGAAGGGTGGAAAGAAAATCTCTGCCTCAAACGAGACAGGCGACAGCCGTCAACTCCACCCACACGTCTCGCTTCTACGCCGTGGCCTCAGCGACGCCCAGGCGACGATTGCAACCGTTGCTCTCGAAATCGCGTACCGCCCCGGGGAAGAGGAATACTCTCGTCTTTCTCAGGACCTCAGTCACTTCTTGAAGACAGCTTTCAACCCCTCAGTGGTGCTGGAAATGATTCAGAGTCTCTGCAATGACCAGATTACTACTCTTACCGTTGACCAGATGGACCGCAAACTCGTCACACTCGACAATTTCTTTGCTCACGTCCATTCAGAGTTCATGCTCTTTCGTGACGTGACCTCTCTCTTCATGGAGGGTCTTGCCATCACCGTACGCAGTCTGCGTGTGCTCAATGCTCAAACTAGGATAAAGCTCGCTGAGACTACTTGTGAGGCTAACACTACGATGATTTTGCAAAGAATTTCTTCTTTCCCCATCCTTCGGAACCCCAGAGACCCAATGGACTATTTGGTACACCTAGAAAGAGACGTAGGCTCCCTGACGAAGTTGTTGAGTTCTGTGGACGGGCATGAAGCGAGCAGGAAGCGCTGCCAGAGCCTAGCCCTTCGAACAAGTCTCTTCGAGCTTCACTGTGCTGTAGTAACAGCGGGACGTCTTAATGTCAACACTGCGGCATTGCTAGGGGGCATTGTGACCAAGGCTTTGGCCTGGTGGAGGAGACAAGAGGCCGAGAAGAAGCGCAAGGAGGAAGAAAACGCGAGTCTCTTCAGATACAAAGCCAAAGAGCACGCCAAGAATGAGACAGACGAAGAAACCCAGGTGCGAGAGTTTAAAGAAATGTTTCCTAGTCATGAGAAAGACTTTGATGACTTGAACGAAAGCACTCTGGAACAAACACCACCAGAACCCGAGCCTAAAGCAGAAATGGAGGAGGATGCTAATGATTGGTTGCGAGAAGAACAGTTTTGGGAGATCACCGAGGTTCACTTTGACCTGCTGTCCAATCACTCGCCTCTCCCCCAAGAGCGCAGTGGTGAATTAGGCAAGCGACACACTGCAATCAAGGACTTCGGTGTGGTCCCTGCAGCCCTGCAGCGCGTCAAAATGTTACACACAATCTTGAGCTCGTGTGGCCCCGTGGCCACTTGTGACCTGGATCGGTCGTGCGTGGGGTCTCACCTCATCTTCAACCACGCGGCTTGCAAGTCCCTGCAAAACCCGCAACTCACAGCAATCCTAGTCAAGCCTAATAATTTCTACGTTGACTGGCGACCGTCGGAGGCCACGAAACTTCGACCGCTACTGATGCCACTACTCGACAGAATCGACGAATTACTCCTCGACTGGCCGGAACATCCGACATTGCTGCTCGTCATCAGTGTCGTCAAGCGCGTCCTGCAATTTTCGGTGACGTCTCCCCTTCCAAAGTTGCTTGCGGGGCTCGAAGCTGTGCTACTGAAGGCGGCCATATGGGAGGCCAACGCCCATAAAGGAGTATCGTTGGTGGTGCACCTCAACGCCATCAAAAGCCAGGTGGTGGAGTGGCGAGCGATCGAGCTGCATGAGTGGAAGAATTGCATCGACCTTGTCACCTACAACGAAGCTTTTACCTCAAAAATGAAGTGGTGGCCTCATCTCTACGACTCTCTCTCTGGTCAGGACTGGGATCCTGAAACCGTGCAGTCCCTTGCACATATTCTGCGTGAGCTCATGGAAAATGCCACTCTCGGTGAATTTGAGTCTAAACTCTTATTACTTGATGCTTTCCACAGACATCTCCTTGTATCAAAGTCCCCTTATCTTGACGTGTGCAATATTCTAAGCAACGTCGTCAACTACTATACCCAGTTCATGCCGGCAGTGAAGGAAGCTCTGGCTAAACAGCGCGCCGAAATTGAAAAACGCGTCAAAGAGCTCGTCAAGGTTGCTAACTACAGCATCGCGACCTACAGGGACATCGACCAGGTTCGCAGCAAGGTAGACAAGTCGTGCCGAGGCTTGCACTCGCTCATGAGTAAGTGGAAAAAATTTCTGCGTATCAACAACCGCGACATTTGGGCCAAGGATGCTGTTGAGGAACTCAAGCTCTCGGGTGAAGGAGTTTGGGACACGAAACGCACCACTCCTGTCACTGTCACCAGCATCCCTCCTCCACATCCGGCGGTATCTAGTCCTATGTTGGGTGTCAAAACAGGGTCCCTGCTTGACTCTCTTGATAATTACTGCAACAAATCGCAGAAATTCGTTGGTAAAATCCTTGAAAGTCTCCACTACAATGACTGCGTTGAGAGCGTCGAGGATGTGACCGTGTCCATCATCGAGGCCTATCAGAAACTTTCGGCTGACCTCTCGTTGTCCACAAATGAGACGGATAAAGAGGTGCGCCTCAGGAAGATGAAGGACGTGATGAAACAGCGACGTGTGAGTGTTACACGTCTCTTCAAACAGCTTGCTGACATGGGCGTGCGATACCATCGCGGTAACACACTCTGGACCGACGACTTCTTCGCCAAAATATTCCAAGGGAGCAGCATCGTAATAGGCACTCTAAATCTCTCCGATAGTACCGCGAAACAGTTTACCGTACAATGGGCGGGTTGTGATAAATATTACTACAGGAGTCTCAATAGAATGCAGCTGTTACTGGAGCGTCTAACTCTGCCTCACCAGGACCTTGGTCCAGACCTCATCAAGCGAATGCGAGGAGCTTGCAAGCACCTCATGCTTCTCTCGACTGACCTCAGGCTGCAGTCTACACAACTTGCACGCAACCTAAACATCCTCACGGGACTTTTGGAAGACTTGCAACAAGCGCCATCTCAACCGACTGCTGGTGTCACCTCCTATGTCGATGTCTGTGACAAAATAAATTCTCTGAGTTTGTTCCTCTCGCTGTCGGCAGCTGAGGTTTGCGCCGTCATTGACACGCGGCCTGAAAGCGGCAGTCTCATTGCCGCTCAGGAGGAGCGCCAGCCTCCCTCACAGACGTCCCTCCTACAGGCAAGAGACTTCCTCATGGTCATCAGCAGCAAATGTAAGAACATCGCCCACAGAACTGGTCAGGTGCTTGCTCAGTTTTCAGATGACTCGCGACCGCGGATAGTGAACGCGGCTCACGTACAGGCGCTGCAATCCTTGAAGTGTGAACTTGGTGACGCGGCTGAAACTCTCATGCAGGCCGTGGCTCTTTTGGACCCAGAGGCGCGCGGCCACACGTGCCTCACACGTCAGCTGCTGGTCTGGGTCTCATGCTGGTCCCAGGCCTCGCAGGAGGTTGATAATTGGTTGCAGTCCGCCGAAGTGCGCATGCCGAGCATCGAGCACGGCGACACTGACATGGCTTATGTGGCAGAAGTCGAGAACTGCACCAGTGCGGCACTCTACGCCATCCAGTGCCTCTTCAAAAAGTACCAAGAGCGTGAAGCTTCCTCTGAAGCTGCCCTTGGTGACGATGTTATTTCAGAAGCAATTGTAGCGTCCCTCTTGGCTGACATTAAATCGATGAAGCTCAACTACGTGGTGAAATGCCTCACGAGTTTGGTTGAGGGTGTGTCCGATTCTTGTGATGCTCATGTTCTACATAATCTACGGCAGATGCACTCCCTGTTAGCCCAATACGCCACCCTTGGCGATAATTTGCTGCTCTGCGCCGCTGCGGCTGGCCGCAGTCTAGGCAAGCTGTTCTCGGTTCTGCTGGCTGTGTTCTATCAGATGGCCAATAAAGGTTTTTGCAAACCCCAGGACCTGCAAGAAGAAGGAGGCGCTGAAGGCAAGCTTTCTTTTGAAGACGATGAAGACTCCGAAGCCGCTGGTCTTGCTGAGGGTGAGGGCAAAAAGGACATGTCCGATAAATTGGAGTCAGAAGATCAGCTCGAATCTGCATTACAAGAGGGACAGAAAGAGAAACCCGGGGACAAAGACTTGAAGGAAGACAACGGAGTGGAAATGAGTGAAGATTTCGAGGGCAAGTTGCAGGACATGGAGCGTCCTGAGATAGACGAGCAAGACGACGAAACTGAGAAAGAGGATGAGAACAAAATGGACGACCAAATGGGCCAGACCGAGCAAGGTGCCGAGACTCTCGACAAGAAGCTGTGGAACGACAAAGAAGAGCAGGGCGAGGGCAACGAAGAGGAAGAGGAACTTGAAGAAGACGATACGGCAGAGGCCGGAGACGATGAAAGGGAGAGCCAGATCGTCGCTAAAGATAAACACAAAAACCAGAAGAACGACAAGAAAAACAAGAAAGAGGATGAAGAAGACGCACAGCCGAAGACTGATAAGCCAGAGGAAATGGAGGAAGACCGACGTCAGCCTAACCAACCCACGGAAGAGGAAGACGATGAAGAAGACGAAGGAAACTTCGAGGATCGTCTTGCTGGTGAGGAAAACAAGCCTCAACACCAGCCTGACGAGGATCAAAACAAGATTCCCGATGACTTGAACCTCGACGAAGCAGAGGAAGATAAGCCTGATGACGAAGGCGACCATGACAAAGAAGACGAAGAAAACCCTCTTGATATCGAAAAGAAGGCTCTCTTCCCCGAGGGTAAGGACTTGGAAAACAAAAATGAGGAGGAAAAGAGTGAAGAGAATGAAGACCTACCTGAAGAAGAAAATCAAGAGAAGGATGGAGAAGAGGGCGAAAAAAATCTGGATGAGATGGAAAACACAGATAAAGACTTCAAGGCTGAAGAAATGGACGAAGAAAAGGACGCAGAGGAAAAGGAAGAGAGAGAAGAACGGCGCAAGAATGCTGGTGAGGCTGAGGACGAAGGTCCCAAACTCCAGCATGAGGAGGAGGAAGAGAAGGATGAAGAAAAGAATAATGAAATCGAAGCTTCCAAAGACCGCGACACCCAAAATAACGCCGAAGCCGCGCCCATGGACGTTGACAACGCTAGCAAAGACAAGACTAAGGTAAGGGGGGGAGTGGTTGGTTGTCCAGACTTTAATAAATATTACGAAAATTGTGAAAATCTACTACCGATCTTGCTGCATTACGACCAATTTACGGTCTGGGTACAAATGATTACAGGTTTATATTCAGCACGCAAATTATGGCATTCATTTGTCTATTATGTCGTTTTCAGTGGTTCCTATAAGAGCGAAGTAATTAAAATAGTATTTTTTCTTGGGGATATTTGTTCCTACGGTAGTTAATTCAAAGGAGAATAAAACCTGTATTGAGAAGCAAACTTTACATCATATACACGAGAAAAACATGTTAATTGTTGCGGGTATAGAAATTTTTATAAAATCGAAATAGAGCCATTTGTTGTATGGAGAAGACTAGGTGGTGAATAAATCTGATTATTTATTTAATTTATTTTGTTTTATTTAATTTATTCTGTTTTATCTGATGTATTACTATATTCAATTGATTCTGTTTTATTAAATTTATTCTGTTTTATTTACTTAATTGTGTTTACTCAATTCGTTCTGTTTATTTTATTTATTCTGTAATAACCACATCGCCCCTCAGGAGGCGCCCAAGACGGACGACTCTGGCCAGGACCGCGACGATGACCTCGACGAGCAGGACGAAGCAGGGGAGTCTGGGGAGACGACGCAGGAGAGCCTTGGCGTAGGGCAGTCTCAGGCACGTCCTCAGGACGAAGAAATGCACGAAGGCGACACGTCCTGCGTCACAAGGTAAGACGATGAGTCGTCCGTCGTCTCTAGTTAGGACGATGAGCCATCCTTCGTCTCTAGGTAGCGTCCCTTTATCGTCTCCAAAGACAAAGGTTCTTCGTCATTATTCAGCTTTAACGAGCGCCACATTTACGTATGCTATTGCTGCTCTTGCTATGCTGAGTGTTCACTGTAACAACTGAGTTGGTATAATCTTGTTTGTAAAATTGGTACTTCTTTCTGTGTAAACAATTGCTTATTCTTGACAATTGTGTGAAATTCCGATGTGAAGTAAATATCACATAGCAATGCTTACCTTGTATGCACTTAAGAAATCTCGCACGGCTCCCAATCCTTGCTACAAACTGACTCCAATATTCGTGATGGTCCGTGAATTGTCCTGCCTTTGTGGTTACGTACTTTCTATGCTGTTACCTACCCTCGGGTTCATTGTTCTCTCCACTCCCCTAGAGGTACCCTAGCCTTCGTATCCCCTGTATGTATCTCAGTTCTCATTTTAATGAATGTATCTCAGTCCTCATTCCCATTGATATATCGCAGCCATCACATCCCTTGGATGTATCCCAGTCGCCACGTCCTCCTGCTTCACTCCCTGTATGTATATACCCAACTTATTTTTCCCTTTTAGTCCTATCCCTATATGCATCCCATTCCTCATTTTTTTCTTCATTATCAGTATCCCATTCCCCACCCCCCTTCCTTCATCCACTCTAACGTATGCCTCCCGGGTCTGCTGCGCAGGGACTCAGAGCGCCCCAACGCCCCCCTCCCGGAGCAGCGACGGCAGAAGCAGCGCAAGCCTGGCGATGTTGACGAGCGTAAAGTTACGGGCGATCCTAACGAGGAACTTCGTCGCGGCCTCCTGACGAGCACGCATAAAGACTTACACAAGGAGGACGAGCCTCATGACGAGGCCGAGGACAACTGTGATAATAAAGACGCACCACCTGAAGACTCGTCACAAATGAGGGTGAGTGGTGCATGTAATGTCTAGGCCGGTGTTGCAGGTGTTATCCGGGCAGGTAGGGCATTTGTAATATGCAGAAGTGGAGCTTGTGTAATTTACGGAAATGGTGCGGATATTTTATACTCGGTTAATGCAGGCGTAAATTGTTCAGGCTGCATGCATAGCTGTCCTTGCTGTTTCTAGAACCATGTCACGAAATTACCGCAACTGGCATCATAGGTATCACTCGTGTCAGCTCTGACCTCCATGGTCGCTTGGATGAAAAGTTGTGATGTTTTGTCAACTGCCATGTATAGTGTTGTGTTTGATTTCAAGTGTTTAATTTTAGTTAAGTCATAGGTGCAGGTGGTAGTGTGTTTGCAGATGCTAAAGTGCGGCGAAAAATTATTAGCGAGTAGAGGTATGTACTAGAGGTGCAAGGGGCAGATGGTGTTTGCTGCAGATGGTGCAGCCCATAGTGAATTGGGAGCTGAAGCTGCAGAGGTGCAGCCCGTAGGGAGCTGTAGCTGCCCATAGTGAGTTATGAGCTGTAGCCGCAGGTGGTGTTAGGTGTAACAAAAAGTAATCTTTATCACTGTCTTGACGTAACCTCTTACATTGCAGGTGATCAAGCAGGCGGATGAGGAGGCTGAAGGTCAGGCAGTCGATGCCGGCACAAGAGACCAAGCCATCGAGGCCCCCGCCCCCCAACAGGACGATGACGCCTCAGAGCCCGAGGAGGAAGGCGTGCAACAACAGCTCATGGAGGTACTGAGCCTACGTCCGTTATAGTTTTTTTTTGTTCCAGGAAGATAGGTCATTAGATAATTTCATCATTGAAGGCGCTTTAAATTTACTCGAATTTAATAATTTAATTTATTTTCTTTCTCATTGCGAATTGATAATTCAATTCTAATGGGAAATTTTTATTAAATGAGCAGTTCGGTTGATGATCCGTAACTGTCGTCGTATTTCTATGTTGAAACCCTGAGGGAAATGAAAGAATGAAGTTCTTGAAACTTTATTTTAATTTTATTGTTTGAAAGAGTTGTACTTACGTTGTAAGAATTTCCTTGTTTGAAATAAAAATGGTTCCACACAAATTGTTGAACCGGGATAACTTAGCGTATCTTCTTATCATATTTCTATCATGTTCTGCACACTGAACGCTTAAAATATTGAATAAAGTCTTGCTGCAGGACCGAACGTAAAAGTTTTCTGGAAAATATTCTTGTATCTCCAATTTTTTCTGCTCTTATCCAGGTGGACGACGACGAAGAAGAAGAAGACTCCAGCAAAACAGAGAAACTGGAGGCTGAGAAGCAGCGAGGTAGAGGCAAGGAGCACAAACAAGGACTGGAGACAGAGAGGGGAGAAGGAGAGAAGCTGGAGGACGAGAAGATGGAGACGGAGGGGGAGTTTGTGCTGGAGCACACGGTGCAGCGGCCTCCAGAGACATACTTCCACACGCTCCTGGAGCAAGAAGGTAACGTGACTTGTTATCACGCAGAAGTTGTCAAGTTGCTGATTTTGAAATCGTTTGAAATTTTACAAATCAGTCCTGTCCAGGATATGAGGAAAAATAGTTTAATCTAAAGTTAGCGGCACGAGCGTCACTGTATGAAATATGAAACTGTTTCCTCCAAGATGAAAAACGATGGAGACGATATAAAATACTGATTAATAAAGAAATCCAGTCTTACATACAATTAATAATCGCAAAATTTTAGAGGCACTTATCAAAGGGAAACCTCGATAACAATCGTAAACGATGTCTAAATCGTGATATTTCCGCAGAACTAACGACGGAGGCGCAGTTCGAGGATGACGTACAGGCGACGTCAGCACGTCTCGAGGCGTCTCGCCTGGCGCTGACACGTCCTGACGATGATGCCTGCCACTCCTGGGCGACGCATCAGGCGCAGGTGGCGCCCTACGCCGCCCAGCTGTCTGACCAGCTGCGCCTTATTCTCGAGCCTACCGAGGCGTCTAGGCTAAAGGGAGACTACAAGACTGGCAAGCGCCTCAACATGCGCAAGGTGCGCCTAACTCGGCCTCTTGTGGGCCTTAGTCTTATCTTCTGATAACGTATTCAGATATTTAGCTTGTCCCTCAATTTTGACTAAAAATCCGTCAAGTCCCTTTATAATTAGAAGATTTTATCGTAGTATTAATGGTATATAACACCTGTGACATCTAATACGTTATGAATATATCACACATGACGTCTGATCCGTCATGTACCCAACGCCCAAATCACGTGTATACAAACCGTGACGATTAATACATGCGTATAGCACTCGTGACGTCATATCTCCCCGTCAGGTGATTGGCTACATCGCGTCCCACTTCCTCAAGGACAAGATTTGGCTGCGACGCACGCAGCCCAGCAAGCGCGCCTACCACGTCCTGCTCGCCATCGACGACTCCGAGTCCATGAAGGCCGTCAGTATTCGAGAAAAATCTGGCATATTTTAAAAATATTCAAGATACTTGTCAAATGTTGAAATATTCAGCATATATGAAAAATATTAAATTACACGTCATATCTGTAATGAGTAAATGAATAATACTGTGAATGATTTGAAACTTCGCTCACAGGTGCGAGCAGAGGACTTGGCAAAGCAGAGCATCTCGCTCGTGTCGCAGGCGCTCACGAAGCTGGAAGTCGGAAAGTTTGGTGTGGTATCCTTCGGATCCTCGACGACCCTTCTGCATCCTCTAGACGAATCCTTCAGTGACGCCTCGGGGGCTAAAGTCTTCGCGAACCTGAATTTTGAGCAGCAGGAGAGCAAGTTCGTGGAGCTGCTCGAGTCAAGCGTGGCGCTCTTCAGAGATGCGCGAGGCGGAACTGTCGCTCACTCGGACACCGCTCAGATCCTGCTCATCGTGAGCGACGGTCAGACACACGCTCGCTCCGAGGCATTGCGAGCCGCCGTTCGGGCCGCGCGCAACGACCGCATATTTGTTGTCTTCTTCGTACTCGACGCTTCCGAGAACCACTCATTTTATGACATCAAGGTCTGGGATAACGTCCAGCTTACTCTCAAGCCCCTCGCCGAGGAGTTCCCTTTCCCCTTCTACCTCGTCGTGAGGGACCTGGCCACGTTGCCGCACGTCCTGGCTGACGCTCTCAGGCGGTGGTTTGAACTCGTTACTGCTGACGTGGCTAATTAGCGACGATGACAATATAGCTATACATGCTCATTGCCCACTTTTGAGATATGGCTGTTTCACTATTGTTTAAGAGTACATCAACCGCCGTCAAAACTATTCATTTTTCAAGGCCAAAGTTATCTCTAATTGACAAAGGATTAAAGATCCACGCTACCGCATTCAAGACTTTGTTAAGGAGTCGACATAGCCTATTGTTAATCAAAGTGACTTAGCGGTCACTGTCCTGAATTACTTTGATATCTCATGTTACTGTCATGAATGTAGATACTGTAATTATTGCTTACCTCTTTCTTGCCATTCACTAATTGCGTACCAAGATCGTTTTGAAGTGAGCGTACGTGTCCAAGTTGACAACTGTTGTGTCTATAACTAAATGCGAGGTGGATCGTGATATAATAAAATCCACTGCAGTTGCATGTAACATTTACCATTTTCCTGTAAGTAGTTCAATTTCATTCTTATTTATGCTTAGTGATAGGGCTTTTGAATCATGTTACTGGAAGCACGTCGTTGGTAAATATGTAAATGCAATGAAGTATTGAACAGTATATTTTTAATTCTTCATCATTTATCAAGCATTCAAAAATGTTTACATCGAACAAGTTTATTCCAATACCCTTCCATTGTTTTACCAGGCAGAAGAACACCTTGTGAAGTATATTTCCCTCCCACTGCGTTTACGTCCACGTGTTTCCGTAGAATCAATGATAGATGAGTTCGCCACGAGGCTCCGTTGGGCAAAAGCCACCACCAATCATTGTTTTTCAATATTAAGTGTTGTGCAGAAGAGACGCTTCGGAAGCGTGAACGTTTGAACTTTGCGAAGGGCGACTATGATGAACTCCGTGAAACGGTGAATGCGGCGAATTTTTCGGACTGAATTAAGGACATGAATGTGGCTGATTCATGGTCGTTTCTCAAAGACACGGTTATGTCTGCAGTTGTTGCCTATGTACCCAAGATTACGCTTGGAGGAGTCAAAAAGTCCCAGTGGATGAACAGTGCAGTTAAGACTTGGCTAAAGACCAAGAAAGAAGCCTACAAGCGTTATTTACGAACTCGCAGCGAGTCTGATTTTAACCTGTATGTCAGAGCTCGAAATCAAGCTAAAAAAGTTTGTCGCACTGCAGTGAAAAACTTCGAAAAAAATATTGCTAAAAATGTAAAAAGAATCCGAAAGCCTTCTTCTTGTACGCTAGTTCGAAGTGCAAGTCAAAAGACGGTATATCTGATTTGAAAGTAGACCAACGAAAGATCTCCTCTGATGAGGGCAAGGCTAACGTTCTTAAACAGTTCTTCAGCAGTGTGTTCACAGATGAGGACTTGAACAGTATTCCAGATAGTGAGGAGCGCCCAGTCGACTCGAAGTTAACATGTTTTGAAATACACGAAGAAGAGGTTCTCAAGCGCCTGGTAGCTCTAAATCCCAACAAGTCATGTGGACCAGACGGCTTCCATCTCAGATTGCTCAAAGAATTAGCAACCGTTCTTGTCGGCCCATTGACTGTATTCTTTCAAAAAACCTCGAACGAAGGAACTTTGCCTTCCGACTGGAAAGAAGCTCCAGTAACACCATTGTTCAAAAAAGGTGACAAAAGTAGCCCCGACAACTATCGCCCTGTCAGTCTGACAAGTGTTGTTTGTAAGCTAATGGAATCTGTTGTGAGGGATAGGATTATCGATCACTTGACTGCTCACCATCTCACATCATATTGCCAACATGGTTTTATCGTCGGTAGATCCTGCACCACTAACTTATTATCTACGTTGAACGATTGTACTCGCCTGCTGGACGAAAGGGAGCCAGTGGATGCATTTTACCTCGATTTTGCCAAAGCATTTGACAGTGTTCCGCATGAGCGGCTGTTGCGTAAAGTGAAGTCTTTGGAAATTGAGGGAAACGTACTCCAATGGATCAGAGATTGTCTAGTAGGTAGACGACAACGTGTCAGTATTAACGGAACCGTGTCAGACTGGGCATCAGTGCGCAGTGGCGTGCCATAAGGAAGCGTTCTTGGGCCTATTTTGTTCGTTGCTTTTATAAACGATTTGCCAGAAGCAGTCTCCAGCGTGTGCTCCATGTATGCCGACGACACAAAAGTTTATAATACAGTGAAGGATGCGTCAAATAAAGCGCAGTTGCAAGGTGATCTTGACAGTTTAGTTAACTGGGCTGATACGTGGCAGCTGCGGTTTGATGCTGACAAGTGTAAAGTACTTCACCTCGGGAAGAACAATGAACAGCAAGATTACAGTATGAGAAGACATGGTTGCAACGAGAGAGTAATGATTGAAAAGTCTAGTGTGGAAAAAGATCTGAGTTCATGTCGACAAGGAGCTGAAATTTTCTAAGCATGTTGAAACGCAAGCTAACACATCCAACAAACTTCTTGGACTAATCAGACGCTCATACGAGTTCCTAGATGCAGAAGCGAATTTGTTGCAGTCGTGCGCCCGAATCCTAGAGTTTGGAAACGTGTGGTCACCGAGATTAGAAAAGGACAGAAATTTACTAGAAAATATTCAAAGACATGCAACAAGGCTAATTCCAAGCTTGAAGGGCAAGTCCTCTGAAGAAATATTGAAGATTATGAAGCTTCCAAGCCTCAGTTATCGACGTCTGCGTGGGGACCTCATTGAAATGTACTAGTATACTCATGGTTTATACAAGGTCCCCGAAGGATTACTAGAATTTGAAACAAGAACCAACACCAGGGGCCACGGCTATAAACTAAAAAAACTGCGCTGCAACTTTTCCACGCGACAAAATTTCTTCTCGCTTTGAATCACCGACATGTGGAACAGCCTCCCCAATGTCAATGACATCGTTGGCGTTCCAAGTATGAACGCTTTCAAGCACAGACTAGATAAAGCTATGGAAAAATATATGTTCAGATTTGAAATGCCTAGCACCATATCGAACCCGGTGGAAGTCTAGTAGCTACTTGAAACTATCGTCAGTCATGAAAATATCCGGTCAAATGAAACGATATTAGATCTTCTGTGAACAAGGCACGAAAAGGAAAAGAATCGGCGACAGGCCACATCAGGCCTACACTTCAGCGCCGAGATCAATATGTTATGTTATGTAGGGGAATTCAAATAAAGTTGACTCGTATTTTTTATAGCCATAGAGCGATAATACAAATTGAGACAATTAACTGATATACAACAAAATTTATTGAGAGATTCAGTCTTACATGACCTAGTTTTTTGATAGGACTTTGTGATTTCAGCAACATGGATGCATAATCCGCGACTCGCACAGGTACACGCAGTACATGTAACCTCTACCTTAGTACAAGCAACCAAACCCTCTCTTTGCATATAGAAAACGCGCAATCTATCAAACCTCCTTGTATACACCGCACACATCCTCCCCTTCTTCGTGTATTCAACAAACACGTTGTCTTTACCTACACGCCGTACCTGCGACCTAACACGTTCCCCCACTCACCAAGCCCGCCCACGCACGCGGTGCTCGTGATCTTACAGACGTCATTCCGTGCTACCCTCAAAATGGAAACTAGCTAAAACAACCGCCTTGAATTGATCAAAGCTAATTCTGCCATCAGTGCCGTGCTGCACGATAGTCCTGTCTACCATCTGCTGCAGCTGCACGTCACTCCATCTTTCGTCCATCATCCGCAGCACCTGCGAGCAACAGACGCAACTTGAATAAAGCTGTGTTGGACTTCTCGCTCCTGCAATCTTGCGATTACGTAGGAGCTTTAGTCCAGATATTCAGACGCCGAAGGCCAATTTACTATTGCAATAATATTTCAATTTCACGAGGGTGATGAAAAAGCGAGCGTTTAATTGCATCGTATCTAATAATTATCTATCATCTAGCTTCGAATAACGGGCATGATTGAGAGCACGGTAAATTGGATAAGATTAAAAAGATCAGGAGCCACGCCTTCGGTTTTAATTTGAACTCCGCTTCAATTCAATATAAACATTTGTTTACCTTAATTTATTACCTGCATACCACAACCTTACTCACTTGGAAGAGCTCGCCGCTGGATATGAAGCCGTCGTTATCCATATCGTAGATACGGAATAAGAATTGCAGCTGGCTGTTCGTGTCGCCTTTCATGCTCAACTTAGGAATTCCGGCGATAAACTCTGCCCATGTTAAAGCCATTATTTTCAGCGTTGTATGTATAGTTGTATATACAGTATATCATATCATAACACGAGAAATTGTATATACAGTAGATCATAACACTAGGAGTTAGTATTTACAGTAAATACTAATACTATGAGTGACACATACAGTATATCATAAACTAAAGACATTTTGCTGTCTCGTATAGCTAATTCTGTTCCAACAAAGGAAACGCGGGACATTCTTTATCGCATCCTCTACCATGTGCCTAAGCTATTTTTATCGAACGTTTTGATATGCCACAAAACCTGATTCACAAACGGAGCAAGTGCACCCATCCGATGAGAATATGCTAGTTATATCGAATCAAATTTAGACAATTGGTTGAAAATGAGCGACGATTAATCAAGTGAATTATGCAAACAAAAATCATGAACACTTAAACGACAATGAGCGCAAGATTTAATAATTACAAGCAGCGAGCGAGTGCTTTCGACTAATCATCTTCCCATCCATGTAAATGCGACAAGCAGCCAAGCACCACGATGCAAGAGGCAGGTTTATCAGTAACAGCAGAAGGGGACCCACCTCGCCCAACATCAGACGCAATACGAATGACTTGCACATTATCGTCGCTCGCTCACCTGCGATGTCAATTTCGCCATCGCCGTCAGTATCTAAGACGTCAACAATGCGGTGTAGGAGGGGGTTATTGTCCAGCCCTGGCAGCGACATGAGCTCAGACACGCTCAGCTTCTTCGACCCGTCCCGGTCGAGGGCTTTGAAGCCCCGCGTGAGTAGTCTGATCTCGTGGGCGGTAACTGGTCGAGGATGGGAACTTTTAACTAGTGAAGGCATGGTTAAATGAGAGTCAAGACAAGGCTAAAAAATACACCTAAATATGGCATACACTCATGATCAATTGAACAATTAAGTTGGGATGAATCTGAATTTCAGGCGGTGGTAATGAAACGCAGGAGCGAGAGAAATCACGACAATGACGAGAACGGTTTGCACCCTCAGCACTCTACTTAGCATCCGCAGGATATGCGACCGTGCCTCGGGATTCAAATATATCTTTATACAAACTCTCTGGTACCTCTGTGTAAATTATTAAAAAAATTAAACTAGTCTGGAGGAGATAAAATTTTACTCCATTATAGTTACGGACAACATTCAATTCTGTGCCGTATTAAATTCCCGTCCTTACGATGGTCGTAGATTGTTGGAAGATCGTTAATAATAGTTTCTGAACAAATTTTCCACAAAACATTTCTTACTAACGATATCGGCCCAATTTCTTAGCTAAATATTTTTTAAATATAAGTAACAAGTTACGTTATTTATTAGAGATTATCTTCATTACTCACAGTGTTTGTTCACCGGCAGCGACTCTTTGTTGCCCTGAGGAATTGCGGAATATCAGTTACAAGTTAAGCAATAAACATAGCCCAAGAATTACTTAGTATATACATACATAATGATTAAGGATATGCCATTACTTGATCGTATATCAGAATAGCGGCAAATTTGAATTACCAAAATTACCGAGGGACTTTAAGATGGAATGATAATTTTACTACCAGCTGAAAAGTATATTTCATAAGAAATTTAAGGCAGTGGATATAAATGATCCACAGCCTTAAAAGTTTGAATTCTCTTCACTATAAAGTTTAAAGAAAAATTCTGGAGGAAACAACGGGCCTGTAAATTAGTTTGTTCGCAGTGAAGTATAGCGTAGTATATCGGTGCTGGTGTTGATTAGGCCGTTATACCTGTCGCCGATTCTTAGCGCAGCAGAATATTCACGTGTTGAATACCCAAACCATTGCTCCAATTTTGCTGTGCTTAATCATCCAGCCAACTTGCCGATTTGACCAGAACGCAGCAGGTAGGTAGCTGGGATCGAACCCGCAGCACAGTGCTCCAATTTTGGTACTCCGTTCTGTAACCACTGGGCCACCCTACTCTTTGTGCAGATGTGTTCATTCAGGCGATCTCTGTCGCCGTCGCCAGGCGTCGCCATCGTCATACGCCACTTTCCGGAAGAAGTACGATCGCGAAAGAAATATTTCGGAACTCTTGCGCAGTTTAATTTTAGTTTAGGGAACGTGCACAATAATGAACTCTCAATTGTTGACCAAGCCCAAAAGTCGTAACCAAATTTGTATGTATGGAATAAAAATGAGTATGCATATCGTTTAAAGCAAAAAAATCTGTTTTACTCTTAACAAAACTGAAATTGGGTTCGTGCAACAGTTTCTTGATGCTCTTAACACCTGAATATTGAAATGGCAAAAAATTGGCAGTACGTGTTCTGCTACTGACCGCGAAGTCCCCCCACACGAACCTTAGATTACGGGGGATTTAGTGACTAACACCAAATATTGAGGCAAAATCAGTAAGCTAATCCAAGATTTCATCATCTAACTAGACTTTATATTTATATACATTAAAATCTATGAGAATTGCCAAAAGCTATTTCAGCGCAGGCTTTTATAACCTCGCAGTTGATTGAACGTACATATTGTGGGTATCGCCAATGCCGCACGGAGCAATGCCAGCCAATCAAAAACCAGGTTTTCTTAGAAAATATTCCCAGTATAGTTTGCATGGTAAATTTATCCAAGTGATGCTGCTCCATAAATAGACAATTCCTAGAAAACTCCCCTTAAAACAAGCTAAGGTTACGGATTTCCAACATTAATAATACCTATTGCTAATAAAATGTCTTACCATTTCACTTTTCCTGAACGTTACGTGTAGAAACTTCCAAGTGGCGTTGAAACTTCAACACCTTAGAGGTAGATCTGATGACTGTATAACACACTAGTAGCGGTAGATCAAAGAACCCATGCCCTTATGGTGCAACATTTCAAAGGATCTGGCCATGTGCTTTTTCTTTGTCGTGCGTGTGTTTTAAGTTCCATGTCATTTATTGTCACCTTCATGCATTATTAAGCCATTTATTTTGCCGGGTAGTTGACTCAAAGCTTATATCATAAATGTGAAATTAAATAAAACGGGGAAAATTTATTTACAATGATTGAAATTTTTATTGCTGTTCCCTCATCACTATGTACATTGATGAGTATATATTTATACATATGTATATATATATTTTGATATTTATATCAGAATGTATAGATTTCTTCATCTCTAATTAGTTTTTCAGTCATCACAAAATGTAATTACTTTGGTGCTTCTGGGCTAAAGGTTTTATCTGAATTAAGCTAAATAGCTGAACTTACAAATTATAATTTCGCATTCCGAACGGCAGAGAAAATGAACATATGCTGTTGGGAATGTGAATGTTTATTCCAGCGTATTTTAGCATACGTTACGCATATTTTTCACAAACAATAAATTGAGAATAAATTAAATAAACTAAATTAAAGAATAAATCGAGGGATCGAATATTTCTATTATTTTCGAAATCAAAATTGAACGACTGTTACTTAACATGGAGACCCCAAAGAATCGTATATATACCAAACAGTTTTAGTATTTATAATTATTTGACTACCTGAAATAAATTTCTGCATTCATTTCATAAAATCTTTTACAAACTTTTCTGAGTTTGTGAGAGAGAATTATTGCTAAATTGTCTTCTTATATACAAGTGATCCCCATTCAAATTTTGAGACACTATAATTTGTCTCTGGAATTTATATCTGTTGAATTTTGCTATTTTGTCATTGTGTGTGGTAAGGAAACATCAATCAATGAAAGGTAATGAAGGTAAATGAAAAGTATTGTTTTGACATAATCGCATTTCACATTCAAAACAAAAGATTATTGCGTAACATCGAATCCTAAGATGAAACTTCTGAAGTTTTTCACCAGATAATAAAAGAAAAGCGTGAAACAGGACCACGTACATAACGTCACTCTGCTTACTCATCATCAAAGTTTGAAACATCATCATTTAAATTTAAATTAACGGAATTTGAAAGCGAATGTTATCAAATAAAAAACGGTATAAATAAAGATCAGGTTATTTAAACGACCGCGAGTCACTCATTATTTCAATTGAGAACGCTGCGGATCTGTGAACTGTTACGTATTTATATTGTGCACCGTACAAGAATATGAAAAAAATTAGTAACTATTAAAATAGAGCAAATTACATGGAGTTGATCTCATTCGAAAAAATTGCCATGAGTACATTCATCTGAGCGTTGAAAAATTTGACGTAGACCAGAACGAACTCAAATAATAAAAATCAAAAGCCTCATTATTTAAAAAAATTTCCGTAAACTAAGATATAATGAACAATTCACCTGAAAAGGAGAGCAACAAATTGATAAACCAATTATCCTCTCGAAAATTTGTAAATGAACTACAAAAATTCAAGTGTCGCAAACCGTCCAATTTTCCTCGTCAAAATTGAGAAACAGACAAAAAAAAAAAACACGGGTTAATGCGATTAATGTCTCTGGAGCGAATAAAGTTTTAATCTGACAGTAAATTATATTGAAAATATTGGAACAAATCCCGCATAGAAAAATTTAAGACTAGAGATAGAGATTTCAGGATTTCATAAACTTCGTGGTATTCTGGCAAATGAACTCGTATCTGGTATTTAATCGATTGTAACAAGAAATGGGTATCTTGGCAAATAAAGCAATACGTTTCAAAGGCGGGATCAACACATCAACACTCAACACGTCAACACTCAACACGTCAACGGTCAACACGTCATCACGTCAACACTCAACACGTCAACACTCAACACGTCAAAACTACACACGTCAACACTCAACACGTCAACGGTCAACACGTCATCACTCAACACTCAACACGTCAACACGCAACACGTCAACACTCAACACGTCAACACTCAACACGTCAACACTCAACACGTCAACACTCAACACGTCAACACACAACACGTCAACACTCAACACGTCAACATTCAACGTGTCAACACTTCTTAATACGAAGTTTTTATTTAAAAAGATCAGCTAATTTCCCCGACAATTGAATCATTGGTTGAAACTTATCCTACAGGGAGGAAAGCTAGATCCTGCACTACACAAAAGTCATAATTATCCTACATGAAATAAAACATTATATTTCTCTTCAGAAAAGTCATAACTATCCTACAGGGAAGAAAACTTCATATCGCTCTGTATAAAAGTCATAACTATCCTACAGGGAAGAAAACTTCATATCGCTCTGTATAAAAGTCATAACTATCCTACAGGGAAGAAAGCTGGATCTTGCTGTGCACAAAAGCCGTAAACTCCTGCTACAGGCTCACGACACTGAAAATTAACTTGACTATTGCAGTCGGCACTCCGGATCTTGCCTTCCACTGTGACCACCGCGCAGTTTTTTCCGGACTCAGGATGACCGGCCACCCACAAAGATGGGTCAACTGACCCAGATGAGGCCCCATAGCGCCACACTCCATCTTTTCCTTTAAATACATTAGCCCACATGCCATCTGTGGGAGAAAGAGCAACTGTTAATAGAAGAGCGGTGATAAATAGTTAAGAAAGGAGAAGGAATAAATAGTTAAGAGGGGAGCAGGAGAAAGAGTTAAGAGAGGATAATTAAAAAATGGATAAGAAAGGACCACCGATAATTAGTCAAAAGAGGAGCAGCGAGAAACAGCTGACATATGTTCGCAGAGAATATTCGTAGACCAGAAAAGTTTCAATCCCTAATAAATAGGACAGAAATCCCGGAAGTAAAATCAACGCTAATCGTTTATGACTTCAAGCAAAATTCCAGTAAAACTCACTTCGTCAACAAAGTGATACACATGCTAACGTTTAGGAGATACACTGTCCGTGGGTGATCAAAGATTAAATTGAACGTAAGACGTTGTTAAATAATGACAACGTACTATGAAACTCACCCCCACTGAATTCATATGCATATTTTGCCACATCTGAAATATCGGCCGCATTGTCATAAGGTATCACGAGGCCGAAAGCTTTACAGAAAGCCACTGCAGAGCAAGCGTCGAGGGCAAGTTCATGTACCGTGGCATAGCACGGCTTGATCCACACTGGGCAGCAGGTGAAGGGTGTATCAGGATACAGCGAAACTTCATCGCCATCCGATACGAAATCTGAGTGAAGTTTTGAACTAAATAATAAATTTGGGCAAGGAAAAAAATAAATTTACTAGTTTCATCAACGTAATATTATTAGAAGAAATTATAGGTAAGTTGAATGGATATCTTTTCTAAATTGCTCACCATGCAATTACATATGCAATTTTGGTACATACTAAAGAGTATGGACTATAGAATATTTCAACAGGAGCTGTGACCATACAGAAGTCTAACAAGTTATTTACTTCACTAACGATGATGGACGGCTTCCTCACCTTTGAATGCATCTTCTTCACAAGTCCGCGGACACATTTCGTCTGAGGTCTCACCCTCCCTGTAGGCTTTACCTCCATCGAAGCAAATTCCTGCAACACGTCTACTTGTTACAATTATTAATTTATGACAGCTTCACTCGAGAAACGTTTCACGAGCGTCATTTTAACATAAATGTCAATTATTTCCCAACATGACGACAACTTCAAAAGTGAAAGTTATGTCTGAGGCTTGTCTATCTACTCTTCTATCATTCACACGTTCAATATCGCTAAAACTGGTATTGCGAAGGGCAATATTAACAAAAGTTCACGCTATAGTTTAGTTACATCAGCCCCGCTACATACATTAAAGTATTTGTACACTAATTTCCTTGTCTAGGAACGAGCTTACCATCCCAGGGACCTACAATTCGCGCAGGAAATACATAATTTCTGAATTAAAGCATATAGATAAGATATACGGATTAATATTTTAATCTGACCTGCACTCTTAATGAAGACTATTTTCGAGTCGTCGGTAATGTTGCACGACTGCAAACTGCGGTCAAAAGCCTCGTTGAGCGCAAGCAGGCAACCATTGGAGCTCGTGAATTGAAACATGAGAGCATCTGCGGAGAACTCAGTTTACGTTCAAATATGATAAAAATAATATTGGCAATCACGCATTTCATTCCAGGAAGTAGGTAATCTTCATAAAGTCATTACTGATATTGGGTTCCCATCGGGTTTCAATTAATAATTTCATACTACTCATTTCATTTTTACCAGTCTTATAAAAAACTGCGTTGTAGACTGCTGTAAAACTGTGCTATCGAAAACAACGAACCCTCTTCATGCGCTCTGATGGCACACGATACTGTGTCTTCAGGTTCGGCTTCCTTCTGCCAGTCTGCCGTGATGTCAGTGAATGATGCTCGAATGTACTCGAGATTCTCAGCCACTGTTACGGAGTACAGACTTCCTTCAACTGCGTGGGAAGCATCGGTACATTCCTTGAAAAGTATGGTCGTTTGTTTATACTCCAGTTGAAACTGCACAGGTGATAATAATCCATCATTTTGAAAGTCAATAAATATTTATCATCTTGGAGGTTAAAAATAATATTTCATTTGAAAGTGAATAACCAAGCCCACCACCCTAAGAAATCAATAACCAATATATCACCTACACGGAAAGTACTTATATACGTATGACTCGTCTCTACCACAAGCAACTCCAGACAGTCTACTGTCTCTACCACAAGCAACTTTTCACAATCTACCTTATCTACCTCAAGCAACTCCCGTCAGTCTACTGTCTTTATCACAAGCAACTCCCGATAACTTACCGTCTCCAGAGTCGAGGAATCGACTCGAGTGGTCTGGGCCTGTTGGAAGATAGGAAAAAATAACTTGTGTCGTATTTAGTTTTTGCAAATTAAAATCAGCACTCGGCGCATGAGAGCAACGCTCTCATGAAAAAAAAATTTTAATATCAACTGAAACTGCAGTATTCAGCAAGAATGGTGAATATTGGAGTTCAAATAAATAACTGAATTACTCACCTCAACTGCTGCGCTGAAGAACACCACTGCCAATACGAAACAAGTTGCCATTTTTCTGGACGTTTCTATAATTGTTCGAAAAGTTCTGTAATGGTGCACTGCTCCTGGCTTGATGTTCACTCTAAGAAGGCTCATCGGAAACTAGAACTCCCAACACATTCACCCACAATATTCTAAAAAAAGTTATCTGGGTCAAAACATCAAAGAAACTTTCACCACAAGTGTAATGGTCCATATTGAGACAGTCAATATGTCAATGAAAGAGTTGTATGCAGCACAACCAGCGCTATGAACAGCATTTGTATTGCGATCGATATACTTTCACTGCAGGAAATTTAACGTCATTTGAAATTTTCATCGAAAATCGAATATGTTGGCTGGTGTGAGTCATACAGAGTTAAAATTATGCTGTAAATACATACACCGCTGTTATTTTGGCACAAATGTTTTACAAACTTTCTAAATTTATTCAGCTACGTCATTTTGCACAGGAAACGCATTCCACAATTCAACTCTATGAGTTCATATAAAAATAAATTGAAAATTAGTTTTTAAAATAGTATTCCTTGATTAACAGGTACAAAACTAAAAATTGAACTTTCATCTCAGTTATTTGTAGCAACAAGCAAAAAATATTGTAAACGAATTTTGAATGAATAATTTCATGTAAACTTCAAAGTTAGAAAAGTTCTTCATACAGGAGGCTCAATGTATTTTTAAGGAAGTTTCTAGGCGTAACTTTGATAGTTCTTCAAATATTCTTTTAAAAATTTGAACTTCTTCTTTTCGATGCGATTTTATAAAATAATTAGGCTAGCCAACAAGTTCTTTAAAATGTATTAAAGCTAGAAAAATTCGAGTTGCCTATCATAAATTCTGTAAAAAATTAGTACAATTTCTAATAAAGCATCCACTTCTATATTAACTCATAATATACTTGGATGAATAATTCGATTATGTTCGTACGAACGATTCGTTCATAATAAAAGTCAGCTTCAGCGACGAAACTAATTTGAAAATGAACAAAGTGACTAATTTTTTTAAATGTTAGTGTATAATTTAAGCGTAGAATTCGAAATGAATCCCTACCACATTACCATATAAATAAAACGCATCGCTATTCCGATTGGCCTTTGCTCACTGTCGCTAATCATATGAATGACCGATTCGCACTGTCATGCCGAACAAAGGGTCTATTTTTTCGAACCAATCTCACAAATTCATCATTGTTCAATATACACATAATGAAAATTTTCAAATAAAATGAGAAACAAGTGAATAGCCTGCAATTTTTTTATCGAGTGTATCGCTGGATATAAAAACAGAACGTGACTAGCGACTTCTATGTTAAGCTGAATATCATTTCGAAGGCAATGAAAGTGAAAGAATAACGTTCAATAAATTTAAAAATATTTAATAAATTTGAAACCGTCAATAAATTTAGGCAGAACAATGTCAAAAAAACAATGAACTAACAGCTTGAACGAAAATCATTGCATCATTCGTGAGTAATTTATATTTTTTAGATTTATTAAATGAATTCTGGTTTTTAGTTTCACTTCGAAGCTCCGCAGTTGAAGGACGACGTGGTTTAATTCTCCTCAATACTGCCGATGTTAAGGTGTAGGTGAAACTAACAGTCACACTAACAATATAATAATGATATATAATATAAAAAATTGAAAGCAATACAAACAGAAAAGGAGAACATTAATATTTAGTTTCCTTCCCACGAAAAGTATCGAAGTTGTTAGTTAGTGCAAGTTTCGTTGAAGACCAGAGACAATCTTGTTGACAATCTTCATATTGCCATTCTCAATCAGACAAGTTAGACTACTGGTGAGATTTGAAATTCAGAACATAATGTTTACTGGGAAATTTTATTTTAATTATAAGACGTTTCGAATATGCACACAAGTTTTGCAAATCTCTTCACCTACTAGATAATGAATGTTGCACATTTAAAACGTCGTAAAATTCTGATAAAATGTCCCTTGGAAACCTTATATTTAATTTTTCAAATCATACCACACGCCTAATTGAGAAAAAAATTACTAGAAGTCCATTCAAACTCGTCGCCAAATTGTGAAAATAAAAAAAAATTATCAATAAGAAATACTCTCAGGTAATCAATGAAACTTAAATTATATGAAACATGACGTATCAATTCAAAATGAGTTTCACAAACTAAGGAGAACTTCTACTGCATCATTGATTTACTGGCCGCTTTCGTTTTTATTTCCGTCACTACGGAGTTAATGAGTCACGTGATGTCGAATACTCGTTAAAATTTCCTCTCATTATTCAACATACCGCAAACGATTTTTGAAAACAAATGAACAAACAAAATTATAAAAAAAGAATTATCATGCAATCATACATAGAATGCCAATATTTTGAAGTAAATATTCACGATGAAATGGTAAATCCTCACCAAATACCAACCAAGCTGTTGCACGCCATTAACAAAAACACAAATTTCCACCAAGCTTGGCTCGGAATTTTAGTAAAATTTAACCAATTTAAAGAATATGAGCCGTTTTTCTTGTGTGATTGAATGAATAGTTCTACATTGAACGTAATGAATTGAATTTTAACAAACCACCGTGACAGCAAAATTTTGTTACCCTTTTTATTAAAATAAATGAAATGATCTAAAAGAATTAGGCCCAAAAAACTTTCCCCTCTAGTGCGTTTTTAGTGTTGTTGATGATATATAATTTTCCGCACTTCGAAAGCCCCGGATGAATTGAACTGCGCAGGTGTTCGAGCCGCCCTACTTTTGCCGTTCACATTACTTCCCTTACTTTCACCTGCTTTCATTGTATTCACCTGCTTTCACTACTTTCACCTGCTTTCACTACTTTCACCTGCTTTCACTACTTTCACCTGCTTTCACTAATTTCACCTGCTTTCATTACATGCGCTTGTTTTTACTTCTCACTATTTCACATGCTTTCACTACTTTCACCTGCTTTAACTATACATTCATCTCTTCGCTTACTTTTACATACGCTCGCCACTTTCACTATCCTTCATCACCTATTTTCATCACTTTCACTGTATACATTTACTTCCGTCACTTCCACGTTCGCACCACCTTCATCTACCTTTTCCTGCTTTTTACCTCTTTCATCCACTATATCCACTTACACCACTTTCAAGTTTTTTTTCCCCATTTTCACGCACTTACACTTTTTACAACGTTTTCATCACTTTGCCAACGTTCATCGAGATCCACCAACTCTCGCAACTTTCACCTTCTCTCGGCACTTACACGCATTTCCGAATCCGAAATCAGCCCATATTTTTACAAGTTGTGTTGTATGGCTGGTAATCTCCATAAATTACTCTGTACGCAAGATCTGCAAGTCAAAATGGTTAAGATGTAGTTTTTTATAATATCGTTAAATGGAACAATTAACTTGAGTCTAAATATTTTGAGCGTCGAAGGAATGCAATTAAATTAAAATTTGCAATCAAAATTTGATGTCAGATTGAAAATTTTATTGAAGACTTTCGAAAAAGTCGTCTTAACTTGACCTTCAGAAGGCAGTGAAACAAAAGAACTTAGTTAATTTTAATTCAAGAAACCAGTGAAATTCCGAAATCAAGAAAAATTCCACTTCAGGGGAGGCGTTAAACAAATAAAACAAGCTCTTCAATTAACGTTATAACTTGCGTCGGAAAAGAACTCTACGATAGCGTTATCAATGTTGACTGTAACGTAGCATTCGTGTTGGCTGAACTAAACGTAGCGTCAGAGCAAAACACCTTTTGAAATGAAACTTCAACATTAACATAGCAAGACAGCGCGTTAATGTAACACTGCAGGACTGACAACGTTTAATAACGCTATTCTAGAGTTGGCAATGCAAGACAGCGTTCTGTACAGTTTTTGCGGCGTTGTCATGGCATTACACCTCTCTGGCATAGTCACTGCAGGACAACGTTCTATAACGCTATTCTGGCGATTTCACTGCAAGATAGCGTTTTATAACACTTCCGGCGTTCCCAAAAGACAGCGCTACCTTAGTATTGACTAGGTTACGCTCTATATAATATTATATGATAAACACTATCTTCCCCGAGCAATACGGTTTTTTGTAACGCTGCGTGTCAGCTTTTCAAGAAGAATTTAGAACGCGAGGTTGGTATTATATGAAAGCAAGGCTGAGTTTCCAACGCAAGGCTAGCGCTTTAGTGTTTGAGAATTCATGTTTTATTCAGGCGCCTGTATGGACTTGCAGGATCTCTTGGCCGTGTATTGGACTCGGATGTCAAATATTGGGATTTTTTGTGTCTAGCATCGGAAACGCGCTACAAGAAAACAAGTACAATGTTTTTTTTTATGAATAGCACGGAAAACGCCAATAATTTTCGAAGTTTTCCCAACTTCCCATTTTCTACGATTTTTGTACCGTGTCAAAAGCCAATTTACAACGGGACAAAAGTTCTTGATGATAATTTTGTTCATAATATTTTTCCTTCAACTTTGCACGAAAAAACGACAACATTAAGTTTTGCTTGAGTTTTCGGTTTCTTTTGTGCGATATTTGTGTTGCACAATTTTTTTACCAGAAATTAATTTTTTGTTCGAAGTTTCACTATGCACCATGCAGCTATCGATTTTACGCGGTGAAAAACAACGAAGTCTCAATCATTTTAAGTTAGTTCCCGGAACAAGTTAAAATGTAATATTTCTTCGTTTTCCTTTTAAAACCTAGATTTCGTAACGCCAATATTTATGACATTTATTGACTACATTATAAACAGTTTTGAATAACTGAGGGGGAGAACTGTAGTCTGTTTTGTGATAATAACCGTAATTTATCGATGTTGTATCGAAAAGTCATGTGGTGGCACCTTGCAAGCCATAATTGAATTAAGGAAATTCATTCCGCCTTGATAGCAAATTAAAAAAAAATCAACCTTTAGCTCATGGCAGAATTTATACGTTGTGACGCAACATGCAAGTCGGAATCTTGTGTACAATTTCGCGTTTGGAATTGGATGGCAAAAAAAAAAACATTGATAAAAACATTCGTTTTCGTTTGGCTGTTTTTCCGTCGGTAAACTAAAGCGAGAAAACAAGCATCACCGTCCCTCTGGACTGGCCG